AAGGACGCCTCTGTATCCGCTGCCCTTCTCGGTTTCCCCCCAATCCGCTTCGAAGGCCCGGAAATCATCGTTGACCCATATATCTTGTTTCGAGAAGGGACGGTAGGGCATGACACCCCTACCAGCCATCTATTCAGGGGTCATAGAAAAAACAACTACCGACTGGGGCTTTTTTCGGGGTCATATTTTCACGGGACACTTGAACCGACTGGGGTTTGCCTTCTGTTTGGGTATGTGACAAGCTTCGACAACAGGGCCTTCTGGATTGGGGGCGCCCAAGGGAAACCGACTATCATTCAGCCTGGGCTCCGAACACCTCAGAATTTAGCCATCTCCCCTGAGGCACACCAAAGGGGCATCGTTGATGTCATATCTTTTTCCCAGACCTACTGTGGAACTCCGTTTCGCACCACCGTTCAGAAACCCTGGTTTCGGAAAGGATGATTCCCCAACGTAAGTACCAACAAATACTCTTTTTTTCTGGTGTCAAAGTGGTGCAGGATTTCGTGCATCCACAGTATGTAGCACCCGACCCAGCCTTTAGACACCCAAGACGCGGGTAGGGACAATCCCAGAAAATGGGATTCTTTCTCTATGGTTCTGGCTAGACCAGTAAAACAGAAACAGGCTTTGATCGTATGACTCAGGTGATCGGAGACTCACGTGATCTTATTACCAGGTTTTGACTATGCCGCAGGTGATTTGGGCAGCATGGGTCAAAATTTAGCCACCAGGGGACCGCGGGTTTTGCTCCATGTTTCCATTTACCAGGGTTCCGTTTTGGCTGCCGATTTTTGGGGGTCCCACAGCCATTTTTGTGATGTTTTCTTCGGTCCCTGGAAGACCTTTTCATGCTTAGCCTCAGGCTGCACAGGCGCGTGCCACCTCCAAAGCCGCCGCAAGACCTGCCGGGGGGGGGGGGGGAAGGATCTGGGTGAGGTGCCTTTGTTGCGGTTCGTTTGGAACGGAATTTAGAGGGAGAGCGCCAAATTTTTGGGGTTCCCTTTTTGGAGACAGTCGCAGTTTCCAGCCTTTGGCATCTTCAAACATCACGTGTCCTTGCGCTCGAAGAGCTGGCCCAGAGCTCCGAAAACATGAAGCCCCAAAGATACGAACACATGTGAACATCTCTAGGTTAAGGTTTGCTTGGCGACCGATCTAACTCCCGGAGCCATCTTTCTTATTTTGGCTGCGCGTTGCGAGTTGGGAACGTTTTGGGAAGTGAGTTCGAGTTGAGGAACGCTGGCGGCCCAAGGGCCCAACTAGCTCAAAGCTGGATCCCGAGATTTGGCTCCCGAGATTTCATGGATCGTTCATGCATCCCGAGTTTGAATTGCTATCGCCGGGCTTGCAATGGGCATACACGAAGTCATACACGAAGTGATGACTTGGTGCATGCTTGATTTTTGCATGTTTCTTGCATCCCCGCTAACTTTAATATTTTAGGAGAAAGTGAGTTTTCATGCGACGCTTTCTTGTCAAACCAGACCCCCCCGTAGCCTCGACGTGTGTTCCACAAATGCTGGGGATATGCATTAATTGTTGTGCATGGACCCCCCCTACTTTTGACCGAACAAGGACTTTATCCTCACAATTGTCTATTTGCTCACACATGCTTTTGGTCAGAATCATCAGACCCGCCTCCCCAGCCCTTGTTGCGTTGGACTGGGAAGGGGGTTGCATTGGACCTTACATGGTTAAAGAGCTTGGCAGCTCTCCTAGGATGTGATTGCACTCTAAGGATGCCACTGGATGTGTATCGCAAATGCTATTTTTTGTTTTCGACAGGGGGGGGTAACTATCAGTTTTTTGGGGTTTTAAAGGGACACCAAAAGGAGAACGGCCATTCTGGAGGGGTTTTCTAAAAAACGACCCGCCCAAATGCACATTCTTGTACTGGGGCCTCCAGACATCTTTTTCGGGGTTCCGTTTCCCTCCCCAGTTGGCTAGTTGAAACATCACCTTTTGGTAAGATCGAAATTAAGTTTCCTCGGGGTGGGCTGATGTTTGTAGGCTAGAAATCTCGGTCTGTCTTAAAAGGCAGCCTTGGTTGGGATGGTACAAGGAAACCAAAAAGGACACCTGATCTGAGGACACCTCCAAAGAAGCAAATACGAGCATTTAAGCCACAATCACCCCCCAGTTCGTGAAGGACAGTCCCAACCATTGAACAGGTGGGGTTTGATGGAAACCGGAACAGCACCCCCGCGATCAACGCGGGACGTCTATCACGCATGCGAGAGCGGAGTCCATCGGCGCGTGTGCCATGCAGATCAGACGGGCTTTCCAGGCGCTGAGGTTTGCTTGCGACTCATTTGATCTCGTGTTGGGTGTTTCTCGAACACAGGGACTATTTCCTTCAGGCGGATGGTTTCGTTTAGAAAGCATCTCCTGGCCATCCAAGAAGCGCGCCTCCAGAAGGCACTTGGCCCCCCCCAAATGATGGTTTTCCTTGTGGTTTCCCCTCCACTCACCCCCCCCCCCTCCCCCCAAAAAATAAATAAAAAAAAGAAAGAAAAGAAAAAAGAGGACACACAGCAAAACAAACAATGACAAACACAGGCACCCTCAAAAGAAGACAGACCCACATTGGGAGAAGCTAGGGATTTTTTTAGGAATTCAAAGGATCTAGGTCCCCCAGCAGTGCCCTTCGCTCCCCTTTGGTTGGGAGGGTTCCCCTACTAAAATAGACTGCAGCAAAAAGTTGGTACCCTTATTCTAACCTCTCAAATATCAGGTCCAAAGGATGGTTGGCTGGGACTCTCCGCAGGAAGTGCTGCGGAGGCGTGGCAGCGGGCAGTCGCGTCGCGAGAGACCCGCGTGATACGTACCGCCCACCCGAAGCATGTGTGGGCGGTCCCTTCTTTGAAGTCCTGTAGGATTGATCATTTCATTCTTCAGGGAGTACTTGTTCAATGATTTCAATCCTAGTTTTCACACAGGGACCTTGGGGTAGTCAGAGGCGTTTTTCAGTGTCAAGGCGGCGGCAGTGTCTTTGCGTCCCTGGGGCGTTTTTTTTTTTGTGGCCCCGGCGGTTTTCTTCTCAAGGCGCCGCCCTGGGGATGGGATCCGGAAGGTTTTGGAGCCATGGGTCCGTGGCTGTTTTCTTTGGTGAAGAATCGATGGCGCTGGCTTTGGGTGGGTTGTACTGATTTGCCAGTGCCATCATCTTTTCCAAAAAAGAGACAGCTATGTATGCAGCCAAAATAGAGGAACCAATCAGCCATGATCATTTAGTACGCCTGTGCGGGTATGTTTGCACATCTTCCCTTGGCTTCAGTTGGGGACATCCCAGGAATGGTCCTTGGATTTACGGTTCTGCGAATGGACCTGGGACCCAACACCGGTCTCCCTCCAAAAGGCCGTGTTCTGAAGGCGGATCTGTGATGCGGATCCTTCGTGAAAGAGACATGTCAGGGAGGTACCTATCCCCAGATAGGCGCTTGGAAAGGAAACCAGGAAACCCACCTGTTTCTCGAGGTTCCAAATGCGGAATACTTTACCACCCTTTCTGGAGTTGCTTCAAAGGAATACCAATGGGAAACCACCCATTTTGGGGGTTCACCCATTTCGAGGCAAACATAAGGGGTACGGTATGTGCCCTTCATTTAACAATCATGGAAGTGGACAACGCCTAAGGTGAATCTTCAAGAGGATGGCCGTCGTCTTCCAAACCCCTCCGATAGTCTACTTCCATCGCTGGCATGACAAGTGGGTCATTACTTCGTGCAGGTGGTCTTGACATCCGGCAATCCATGCACACCAAGGCCTTGAGCATGACACAACAGAGTGCTACAAGCCGAGCTGGCCACTACGCCGCCTTTTCTTCTTCAGGCATTCAGGTACAGGCGCAGTATTTTTGTATTTTTAACAGCGGAGAAGTGAAGATCAACACCCAGATCAGGGGTACCGGACAGTGCGCGGGCAACTTGGTAACTGAGACTTCCGATTCGTTCGACGTATCAGGTGAAATCGGGCTATAGCCAGGAATGAGCCTTGAGTTGAGGAACACCGTCTTGCGGAGCCAGAGGACTGTGCTGTAACCCCTTCCCCTTCAAAAAACCCATACCCCTGGTGACATTCGCATGACTCAATTTGGCTGACAAGGGCTTGGTGAGCTTCCGAGATTTGTCTTTGGTGACGGGGAGCGGTTTGTCCACCTTTAGAGCGGTTGAGCCGAAATATTGCTGAGTGTTTCTTGACTGCTATTGACTGCTATTGGGTTGGATCTTCAGACTTTAGCTTTTTGGGAAATCAAGGGGTTTTCCACTAAACTCACAAGAAGTTAAACTTTTTGCAGATTGGTCAACAGCAACAAAGGTTTGAGCTGTTTGCCCTCACCGTGGTCAGCTGCGGATTTGTGCTTGGCCTGCATGCGGTTGCCTGCTGGTCGCCAACAAGGGACGGCGTTGCGCAGCTGCAAAGCTGGCAAGAAATTGTGAGACAGCAGCTTGCGTCATCTCGACCTCAAGACCCTTCAGTGCGCATTGCGCAAGCGCAAATTCGAAGTGTACGCAGGCCATGTACAAGTCGAGCAGGGGTGTCAAGATTCAATCGCACTGCGTGCGGTTACTTTGGACATCCGACGGTTTCTGTGGTACGTCAAGTCCTTGAGCCTGCTACAGTTTGTCCATAGCCAACTTGTGCTACAAGCCGAGCTGGTCACTACAGAGGTGATTCGCTGCAGCCATTCAGGCACGCAGTCCCTTGTATTTAACGTTAATAAAACTATATACATTTATATATATATATATATGTGCACATATCTGTACAGACAGTTCACCCATCCCATATACACCCAAACTAGCTGATTACATGTACATGTAAGTATCTACTTTATGTCTTCATACATATGGTGTATATGTACATCTATTCTTATATTTCTAGCAGTGCGCATGTATATAACTGTGCGCAATGTGTTTGTGTGCAAACTTGGCATTGGAAGCGCAGCGATGGCGCGCCCGCTTCTTTGGTGCGCAGGAGGTGACGGAGCGGTTCTTGGCCGGCATGGAGCCCCGCTTTGACCTGGTGCTGCAGGAGCGGAGCGCGCAGCGGGGGTTGGATCCGATCGGGGTGATCGGCAGATGGGTGGCTCGTGTTTTTTTGTTTTTCCCCAACAGCTGAAAGCTTTGGGGTCTCAGCCCAGATAGGCTCCGGGGTGGTCCGGGGCGGCCCTGAGGTAAGGTTCCACGAGGGTTCCACGAGGTTCTGCGAGGGCTGCGGGGTGGTGCGAGCCCTAAAAAGAGCACCGCATGCTGTCGGGGATATCACCTGAGCTTATTTTTTTTTGGCGGGGGCCCCCCGTTTGGTGGGAACTAAGAAAAAGAGACACGGCCATCTGCCTTGTGGTTGAACCACAAACAATCCGCTAGAGTGCCCAACTCCAGGGGTGGCGCTGGGTTTTGGATCAGGTTTGGTTTTGAGGCTCTGGGGCATGGTCAATGACTTGACTACAGGGGAACTGCCTCACTGGCTGGTGGCCATGAATCCTCAAACTTCATGCCCCTCTGCCTTGAAATTCTACCAGCATTGTAGACATGGTTACGCACGGAACCTATAAGAATGGCCAATAGAGGGTTGTGGCACATATGTCACATATGCCTTTCTTCAAAATTCCAAGTAAGGGGAGCTTCACCCTCTCGCCGCGGGCCATCCAGACGCATCGCCGCGAGGGATAAGGCCAGTAACAAGCTGTCAATCGCAGGGACAGCCCCCAAGGGGAGCTTGCTGCAATCACCATGCTTGCAGAGTATCGGTTTTTCTGTGATACCACTTGGCCGCCACCCGGTCCTCCCGTTTCCACACGCGTTCTGACAACCGCTCGATCCGATGCGAAAAGACAAAAGCCGCAGGAGATGAAGCGCGGGACCGGCGTGGAGGCGTCGGAACTGGGGGTCCTTTTTTGCTTCGCACCACCGAAGAAACAAATCCCTGGTTTCTGATGGTTCCCCCGCAAATACCAACAAACAATGGTTTACCATGGTTTCGAAGTGGTGTGGGATTTTGTCCATCCACAGTAGGGAAGCCCATCTATTCTTCCAACAGGTCACCTATGGCTCTGGGGTTTATGGGGCTTCGGGGGGGGGGGGGGGGGAAACGTGACACTGGCTATGAGTCTGTCTCTAAATGAGGGAACCCCTCCAATGGGTGATTGCATTTAGTTTCTCTTGAAACCCCAACGAACTTCTAAAACACGCCCATGGTGGCTGCTCCAGTTCCTCCAATCTTTCCACAGATCCTTCGTTCGGAAAATGCGATTCCAAAACCCGTGGAGAACTCGAGCAGGTGTTTCAAGAGGACGATGAAATGGTTGGGACTTGGGTTCAAGATGGACACCGCTCCCACAAAAAAATGGGTACCCAAAAAACTTCTGGGGCGACATTCCCCACAAGGAGACAGGGTTGAACATACGCCCAGGTGATATCCGTTTAAGAAAGCTTCCTGAAAGCTGCAACCCAAACCACCCCAAACGAGAGGAACCCCGACAACCGCAGAGTGATTCCTGGGGAAGCAGCCTAGAACTGTCAACCTGACATGTCTCATTGGCTCGTTTTTCTTGTTTCTGGACAGTCTAACCCTTTATCGGGTGACCCGTTGAATGGATTGGTTCTAGCAAATGGGCTCCTCTTTTTCCAAGCAGTCGTAACCAATATGTTTATTGGAACCTGTGAAACAGGTTCTCTGGCAGATGGGTTTGCCTCCAAACTCTCAGAAACTCACTCCCCGAGTTCATGAACTTTATTTTGGGAAGACCATTTTGGTGGCAAGACAATTTTGTGTTTTGCCAATGCATTCAGGAAGCGAGGAAACCGGCAGGAACTTCTACAGCCAAACGCTCGCCAAGAATGATCGGCAGCCAAACACCATCACCCACCCACAGTTCGGTCTAAACATCCAGTAGTCCACGATCCATTTGGGGGGGGGGGTGGACTCACTCAATTTGCCGCAGACCTTAATACTCAAAGTCCTGTGCATTGGAATCCCAAACATGTAAAAGGGCATCGAGATGACATAGTCCCAATTCAATGCCGCACAACTAAATGTGGCAGTGGACAAATTGCCGAAGCATACTGGCACGTTTCAGTGGATAACCATGCCCACATGCCTGAAAACCATGAAGCCCACGGCAACTATGGAAATGCAACAGGAAGGCCTCTGACCCGCTCAAAAAGTGGTTGGTGGACATGAGTCCCCACCGAATTCTGTGCACCAAACATTCCCTAATCAAAACTCACGCCTTGCCCCGTGGTTCTACCAACATTAAAAGACCCGGTTTACTTGCGCCCATCTAAAACAGGAAGCCAGGTAGGAGAACCTATTCAACAAAAAGCGCCAATCGAGGTTGTGGGACTGGTGTTGTCGAACGCAATGCCTTTCTGCAATCGCCGGAGATACAAGTTGGATCCCCGAACAAGGAGCCTTCCTGGGTGAGCTGGTAGGACTTAGTTAAAGTGGCCCATAAAACTTCTACCGTGGGGTGCGAAATCCCGAAATCGCACCACGAAATGAACCCATGGTTGAAGCCAGAAGGTTTGTTGGTATTTACAAGGGAAGCATCCTTTCCGAAACCAGGATTTCTGAACAGTGGTGCGAAATGGATTTCGCACCCATACACAGGATGGTTGTCTGAGATGGGTCTGTCGTTGTTTTCAAGGCACCCAAAAGGAAACAACATCTCGGTGGGTCCTAAAAAGCACACACACACACACCCAGATAAAGCCCTCTCCCCTGCAACTGACCCCTAGGACCTCCGCAAGGGAACCCTCGTGGACCGAACTTCCGACAGGTGGGGTGCCTCAAGGCTTTGGAGAAGCCCATGGCCGACCTCGAGGTGTCGTTTCCTCTCTCTCGCCCGCCGGGTGGGTGGGGCGCAAACCATTAGGTCCGGCCTTTTCGTTGGGGGTAGAAGAGGCTCCCCCATTTCTTCTTTTTTGGACCTCAAGTAGCGATCGGTTCAATGGACCCTACCCCTGAGAATTGATGGCGATTCCTGGTTGACCTGGTTGATTCATAATCTACCAGGGCCATCTACTTTCCCAAAAGGACACCTATGCTGCCAACCCTTTTCTGGGGCTCCAGACCCAGAGAGTCTTATTCTCTGTGAGATGTAATAGCTTTTTGTCGCCAAGGGAGCCCGCTTTAAGAACATGGGGATACCACAAAGGGCCCCGAAGTCTTAGACAACCGAACCTGATTTTCAGCCCGGTCTGGGGAAAATCATCCCGGAATCGCCTGGGATCGGTTCCTTTCACAGGTTCTCGAAAACGAGCAGATGGGTGGCTCGTCTTATCTTTGAGTTGGTTCGCCCCCGATTGTTTTTACAACGCAAAGAAACATTTGGTCTTGCAAACATCACGTTACCAGCTGAGTTAGCGGATCCAAGTTCTTGTACGGCTGGGTTTGGACGTATCGGTCTACCGGAACTCTGTTCGAGCAGATGTTGTGCCTGGTTGGGCACAAAGGCTGAGGTGGGTTGGTTGGTGCTCTAACCGACCAACATGTATCTACCTGGGGCATCCTTGCAGCAAGCAACCATGCAAACGCGTGGCTGTCCTAAAACACAAGCACAGCCGCACACACACACACACTCATACACAAATGGTTGCTTTCCCTCAAAAGCCAAACACAACCAACCAAACACACATGTGTCGCTTACTTTCAACACCTGAACAAACTAAACAACGTACCACATTGTTTTTGGTTTACTTAGCAAACGGTTTGGCTAGCTTCAACACCCATCAAAACAAATCACATGGTTGGTTTCCCCAAGCCCACAGCAACCAACAGGACAACTGGCGGACAAATTGACAATGAGAGACACATGTTAGTGTACCAGAGCCACGAGCGCAAAAGGACACAGTTGTCGGTTCAGAGAGACACTTGCCTTAATCGGGGGATGCCAACTCGTGGTTGGTGAGAAGGGACGCCAAGAGGAATTTGAAGAAGGCAGTTTCAGAGAATTTTGGACCGAGGCTTTGGATCCCCTTGCGAAGCAAGGCTTCGTTTACCTAGGGCAAGTTCCGCTTACTGGGCCAAACATCTATCTGGGCGTGGGTCAAAATTAAACCACCGGGAAATGGACCGCAGGTTTTAGTCCCTGCTTCCATCTACCAGGGCTTGCACCATTTTGGGGTTACCCTGTTTTTGACCCGCAGCCATCTGGGTCCAACTTTCGAAGTTCAAATCTCCTTGGCCAACCCGACAGTCTTGTGCTCTTTGGACCTGAAGGGTAGACTTAGGAGACATTTTACATTGTGCCAGCGACTCAAAGTGAATCATTTTTTTCAAATACATTCTGTAACTGGGCCTAACTCTAATCGTGTTTTGACGGTCCCGAGTTTATGGGTCCAATTCGAGTTGGCGCGTGGATCCTCTTTTTTTTTTTTTGGCGGCAGGAGAGCATGAAGGGCTTCGTCAAGGAGGCAGCGCGCCCTGAGTGTTTTGTCTTTTCTCCCTGAGTTCTGTGACTTTTGTCAGTTTTTGGGTTAGGTGGCCATGTTAGTGGGAAGCAAGCCACATGTTATTTTGTCCGCTCAGGAAGTGAGTCCCCTTTTTGGTTGAATCAAAAGGAAGCCAACCATTGTGGGGGATCATTCGTGGCAACAAACAATTGAGCTGTTTTTGTTGACGCCAGGCATCGAAGCAAGGATTCCGAGCCAACCATTTCGCATCACCGAAGAAAACATGGGATGATTATTTCTCTGTACAGACCAACAAACAATGGGTTCCCATGGTTTCTTGGGCGGTGCGAAATAGATTCCGCCCATCCACAGTAGGGTTCCGCAACTTGGAAGGCTTGGTTGTGCACTCCCTGCACAGGGCTCCTTAAAAGATACATTTTGCAACCATTTGAAACATGGCTTTTTCCACCAGGATAAAGTTGGAAACCACCATTTACAAGCCAATGTTCAGGTGCATATTGTAAGGATCCCTGTAGCTGTTGAAACGCCGTAGGCGGGGAAGATTGCGGCATGAACCGTTTTCAGCATCTTGGAACACAAAGTCAATGGATTTTGCGTACTGACTCAATGGTGTGCATCCCCGTCATTCTGGGTACAGGATCCACCCTTCTCCGATTTGTTCAAAGATTCCCCAAGGTCCGTGGCCTTACTTCCCAGATTTCCCGCAACTTACCTCTTTGTTATAACCGCTCCTTCTCTGGGATCAATCATAAGAGGCCTTACTTCCCAGATTTCCCGCAACTTACCTCTTTGTTATAACCGCTCCTTCTCTGGGATTAATCATAAATCATTCAGCACGTTTGGTTCACGGAATATCGACCAGAGTCAACCATTTGCAAGGTGGGGGGCAACATATGGGTTGCGGGGCGGTCCTGCACAATTTGTAATGAGCTCACCGCTCTGCGCGAGAAGCGAGACCAAAAGGAAATCAACCATTTGGGGGAGTCCAATCACAATTTCTTACGGGTCCTTTACTGTTGTTGGCATGTTTTTTAAGGTTTCTAGTTCTTTTTTGGTTCTGTTCATTTTGGGTGTCCAAAGGAGGGGAGGGGAGGTGGCGGGAGCCCAAAGAAGCCCTGAATAAGGCCTGATTTGGGGCTTGTTCGGGCTCCCTCCCCCTCTCCTTCCTCCCCCATGAAAGTCCGATCGGCAAAAACAACTTGTCGCAACCGCCTTGCTGTTTTCACCAAAAGGGGTCCTTCCTCAAAGAAGGCAGTCTAAAAACGACAACACTGGTTTGGGGTGTGCTCGCCTTAGTGAATTGCCAGCCGTGCCTCTTGCTTTCCAGATAACTATTGGTTTCGAGCCGTGAAGCAAGACCCGCCGCAGGCCGTGGAGGGGGAGGGGGAGCTGCGAAGGCTGCAGGTGGAGGCCGAAGCGGTGCGTAGGGAAAGCCACGCTTTTGCTGGCGCCACAAAAAGAAACTCGGAGTGGCGACCTCAACAAAAAACAAAACAAGAAAGGACACCAGTTGATGCTTGGGGATCCACTATTTTTGAGACAGCTCCTCGATGTGGTGTTTTCCAGTTCCCTTGTTGAAATTGGACTAGGCGGAAGATGTGCTGCTAGCTAGCTTGCTTGCTTTGTGCTTTGCTTTGTCTTGCCTTGCCTTGCCTTGCCTTACCTTGCCCGCTTGCTTGCTTGCTTTGCCTTGCCTTGCCTTGCCTTGCCTTGCCTTGCTTTGCTTTGCTTTGCTTTGCTTTGCTTTGGCTTGCTTGCTTGCTTACCCGCCCGCCCGCCCGCCCGCCCGCCCGCCTGCCTCCCTGCTTGCCTGCCAGTTTGCTATAGAGCTTCGAGGTGTGAACATGATCTGGATATATCCGGATGAATCAAGAGTTTTGATCGCGTCCTTACATCCACCAGATATTTGCCAGTTGTGTGATGTCAATGAGAAACCATCATGGTCCGATTTCACTCGCGCCCGGGGCGGCCTGAGAAGACAACCCACAACAACTGTGGGCGTGTTGTCTTGAGGGAGCTTTTCCGCTTTGGAATCACCAGAATGAGCCACAAAGTAAGCGAGAGGGAAAGATGCAACCCAATCAATGGGTCAGTTGTTTGTTTAAGATTGCGCCCTGCGAGGTTCCAAACCGCGTGAAGACGTGAAAGAGAAACCATGAGGAAGAACCACTGCGACGAACAAGGACGTAACCGGTCGACCAAATTGTCCGCATGCCACGTTTGGATGGTGTCACCATCGATAGCTTCGTTGACGCCCGGTGTCAGTCGCGAATTGTTCTAACTTGTTTTTCCACGTGCAGAGGTCGTCGCTAGGTTTGCCAGCCGATTTTGGGGTAAGGAAGCACCCACGGCGCATGTTCAGTGTACGTTTTTTCTGCTCACGGGATGGCTTCAAGTGGGCCAAACAGAACTCACCACTTGGGAGTGGCTCCCGACTTGCCCTCCTTGGCGGTGAAGTCATCGCCCCTGTATCTTTTTTATGGGTAAACCATCCGTGAAACTTTCTCCGCCCGCAACAACACCTGGGTCCCAATATTCACCCTTTGGAGTCTGCCTGATAGGGCCCCACAAACCCAGAGGGTCCAACTTCTAGGTGTTGACAATTCCCACGTCGCTGGATGTTTCTATTTCCGTATTTCAATAGGCAGTCGCAAAGGTAAACGGGCCCCTTTGATTCGGTAGGCCCCTTTAGTACCTGGTTCAGACGGCTACCGGGTTTGACCAGGCTTTGGGTTTTGGTTTTGGTCTTGACATGAATCAGTCTACGCGTTGTACAAACGGCTGGGTTTCGGTCATAGACCCGCCTAACCTCAGGGTTCAATCAGCAAACTTTACTCCACCTGAATGTGTCTTTTTTAGGAGACCCCAAAACCCATCTATAGTATTATAACCATCCAGCCAATGCCAGTTGCCAATTTACTGAGGGGTGCGTTAAGCCACTGCCCTCCTGTCGATCCGCGTGGCTGTTGCCGAGAACACGAAACGTGACAGCACCAAGCCTCAAACACACCGTGCAAATGGTGGTTTGTGGGGAAGCCGCTCCCACAACTATTTTGCAGACCGGAACATGTCCATTTTTTGTTTGTGTGTGTAAGTATTTTTTCAACTTGGGTTTCAAGGGACACCAAAAGGAAGGTCAAGCCATTTTGCGGGTCCCCCGATTTGACACATACCCATGTTGCTTGCATTCCTGCCTGCGCCCCACACTCCCATTGCGATGATTTAGCCTTTCTGAGGCCTCCTCCCAAGAACAATTCTACATTTTACTGCAGACCAATTATGAACCAGAACCAGACCATCCTATTTCAGTGTGTGCCTTTCTTGTTGGCCAAGTAACGCCTTGTTATGCTCGGATAGTTCCTTGGTGACCCCCTCTTATTGTGTGTGACTCGGCAGGCCATGGAGGCCAAAGCAGAGCTGACCCACTGCAAACAGGCCTCGCCGCGCAGCCGGGCAGGGCCCCTTTTTCCGCGTCGTTTCCGTTGAATCCAAATCCAAATACCGGATACGCAGCTTTCTTCTAAAAGGGGTGCCTTTGATCGCCAGGTGCGATCGCTCTTTTCTATCCACTTTACCATCCCAAAACCCCGCAACGGTGACTGACAGCAACTTGGCTATCTAGGTGGTTTGGAGCCGAATCGGCGTGGTGTCCCATTTATCTTCAAGAACCAAAGGTTCGGATCCCCAAATTACCAATCCGACTAAGGGGTACCTGAGATACTCTTCTACATGACTGCTGAAAACAAGCAACATGAATGACTGTCTTGTTTATTGGGGGTTTTAGCGCCACCGGTTTTGGAACGCGCAGTTTGAGCTTCCGTTTTGGAATGAAGAAAGTGACCCGCCCCCCTTCCCCCCTTCCGCTTTTCATGTTGGGTTCACCTTTGTCTTAACCCACGCCCCCCAGCAAACAACAAAAAGCCACCAATTGCCAGGGGGGAGACGACTTCCGTTTTTCTCATCTTGTGTCGCAGACTGGGGAACTTGAAGATGGGGATGCTCCTAGGCCAAGATGGCAGGGAGGTACTTTGCCTTGAGCGCCAGCTGAGCCAGTCTTTGTTCGCCTAACTGGGCCCGGTGAGGTGAGTCTTTGGGGTGTTGCCGGGAAAGACTCCTGGAGGTTTTGTTTGATCCACGAGCCAGGGCGTCGCCAAAGGTGGCTCCGAGCTGCTAAAACAGGGTTCCCAAAAGCATCACCTTGCCCATTCAAAGAGAGTCTCCTCGTGGGTGAAAGTTGTTTTTTTGAGGGGAAAACATGGGATCGCCTTTCCTGAAGGATGGCCAAACCTGTGCTGGAAAGGTTTGTCTTTTGACCAACAAACATGGCTCAACCCTATGGTCGAATGGGGCCCTCGCGGTGACCGTCTTTATATATTTTTTTATATAAACATAATACTCAGACGGTTCGACATAGCCTGGGGATTTGTCATATCCGGGGGCGGGAGTCTCACTAAGGGTGACAGCACACGCGTTTGCTCAACGAGTTTCATCAACTTCACTTGGACATCAACAAGAAGCGGGCCATGGGCCATCTACTGAATATCCAGGAGGCGTGAACAGCAATTCCAACGCCCGTGGCGTTGGCGGCTTTGGCGATCTTGTGTATCCGGCTTTGCCCAAGAATACCTCAAGGGCTCAGGTGAGACGTGCCCCATCCCTATCGCCAAGACCTACCTCACCTATAGCCAAAAGGCACCTGAGCTACAACCAAAACCAGGGTAGATGAAGGGTAGTAAGGGACAATCCCAGCCATACATAGTTGCGGATATCCGCCTTGGTATTTCCTTACATGGTTCCGAGTCACCCAGGTTTTCATTGAGACTCACCTGACGTGTGTCCAAGATGTCGATTTCGCGCGCACTTCGCGCTAGGAGTTGGAGCAGAGCCGCAACAACTTCCTGTCGGAGGCGGCGGAGACCAGGCGCCAATTGGATCCGCAAGCGAGGCTTTTTCTTCGCCGACCAGGGCTCCTCCGGCTTTGTTGGAGGCTCGGTACAGGGCTCCTGAAAGGATCTCCATGTTGCAACCATTTGAAACATGTTGCTTTTTCAACACCAAAATAAAGTGGGAACCCACCATTTACAAGTTGCAATATTCAGGTGTTGTCATGCCTCCGGATCCCTGCAGTACTCGGCACTTTGGGGTTGGTTCGGGAAACCAGGAAAGGAGAGTTTGAGACAGACCCTCCTTGATTCAGTTCTTTTTTGGGGGGCTGGGCCGGCTTCAGGGATTGTCTTTTTCAATCCCGCCCACCGAAAGGTTCCGTTCCTCCTCCCCACACCACCAGGAAATTCCTATCGCATATCTCGTCCACATGCGCCTTGGTCCCAGTTCGGTGCCCCTATCAGGTTGCTACTTAATTTGTTTGGCAACCGCCAGGACTCTGCGGAAAAAAAAGAGAGAAAAGGACACCGTGGATCTTTGGCTCCCAGGTTCGGCGGGAGCTTTGCAATGAGGTCTGAACAAGTGAGAGGCCCACTCCGACTTGTCCAACTTACCAGGCCCAGGACTTTGGACACTTCGGACCCCAGTCATCGTTCGTGGCAGCTCGACGCAACTCGACGCGACGCAACTCGCGCCTTTGCCATGGCGAGCAAAGCCAAGGGCGGCGTGCGAGGCGCGGGGGGACGGGGCGCGGGGGGCAAAACTCCGCGGCTGGGATTGTCTCAAAATGGGAATCGGAGCCCCCAGAAATGGACTTCGGCAATTTTTTGCTCTGGGATCTCACGCAGGTCCGCTTTCTGTGCCAAGGGGTCTACTCTTAGCCCTCAAGGCTTGAAGTTGCAGCCAGACACTCATGAACTGGTGTCACCTCTTGCTTTTCCACGTCTTCAACCAAAGCAACTTGGATTCCCCCCCCTCCCTGTGCAAAGGTCTCACCAAATTAAGCGCAGGTGGTCTGCGCGTTCGATGCATACCCCTGGCCACTTCTCCTCTCTGTACTGTGGCACATCCGGCACGCTCTTGTTCTCCAGATGTGAGCAACACCCCTTTTGGGTCATGAAAACACCCATTTGGGGCGGGCGGGGGTCCGCTATTTCAAGACAAACCCTGCTATTTTGCGAGTGCGAGGGCCCCCAAAGTCCGCATTCACACGAGCGCCTCTCCCCTTCGGAGGGTAGGGGAGAGCCAAAGGGAACCAAAAGGAGACAAGCAAGCAAGCAAGCAAGCAAGCAAGCAACCATCCAACCATCCAACCATCCAACCATCCAACCATCCAACCATCCAACCAGCCAGCCAACCAACCAACCAACCAACCAACCAAGCAGCCAACCAACTAATCAATTAACCAAGGCAACCAAACGAGAAGCCCAAAGGAGACACCCAGAAGCCCAAAACGACACCAAGCTGGGGCTGATCTCCTCGGCCCGAGGCTGGACAGTCCAGAAGTCGACCCTGAAGCGATCGGCGCCCGCGCCCGCGCCGCGGCGGCCGCCCCCGCCGCCGGCGCCGCTGCGGATCACCAAGAAGGCGGGTCGGTCCTTTTCTCTTGTTTTGAGTGGGTTCCCCGTTTTTTTTTGCTTTAAAGGGACCCCAAAGGAAAGGTCATCTTCTTGAGTGGGTTTCCCTTTTTTTCCTTGGGTTTTCTTGGGTTGCTTTATGTCCGAGAAAGAAAAGAACCGTTCCGGGTGTTTTAATGGACAAAAAGAAGGTTTCAATGTCAAAAGAAAAGGTAGCCCTAAAGGGAAACCCAGAAGGAAAGGTCATCATTGTTTTAGCTAGAAAGGTTGTATAGCAGGGCGTTTTGAAACAGGAAAGGTCCTTTTGAATAGGAAAACGCCCTTGAATAGGAAAGGTCCTTTTGATGGGTTGGTTTAGCTAGAAACAGATGGGTTCCACTGGTTTAGATTGGTTTCGTTCCGTTTGACAGGGCTCTTTTTTGAGTTGGTTCCCTTTTTTGGGTTGCTTTGAAGGGAAACCCAAAGGAAGACCGAAACCATAGTTTTGGGTCCCCTTGTTAAGACACACCTATTTGGTCCTATTCAAGGGCGTTTTCAGGAATGGGTTTTGGAGCTACTGTGGATGGACGAAGTTCATTTCGCAGTTTATAGGTTATTATGCATAGGGTTATTCTTGACTGGTGCAGGATTTGTCGATCCACAGTATGGAGGTTATAGACCACTTTCCAAGAATTGTGTACTGCTTTACAATCTTACAGTATTGGTGGCATATGCGCATCCACAATACCCGCCAAATCCATATTTGTGAAATGCCGCAGATCTATCGCTTTCCCACTACCGGCCACATTGTTTCACCATTGTCGCGCCCTAAGTGGTGGGTTAACGGGGAAACACCACAAGTCAGTTTCGGTGTGACACCCAGAAACAGTCAACATAGCGACGCCCCCCAGCACTAGCTCACTCCCCTAGTTCCTGGGGAGACCATCTCAGTGGTAAACTGTCGGTCCTGCCACAGGGCAAACTCACCGAGCGCACCCTGTAGATCTTTACTTGGGGTTCTCGCCATGCTCAGGTTTTGGAATTCTGGTAGATTTGTCAATTGGGTTGTTTTTCTGGGTACAGCCAATCAACCCATTTTCTTGTTCAGCAAAAGTCTGCAGTCATCCAGCAGGTTTGACTGCGTGAGAAGCCTTTACTCCGAGTAGGCTTGTCCCAACATGGGACTCAAAATTTTGAGAGGCCTCCTCACGCGAAGGACGAGCCACTATCAGGGTTCCTTAAAGAATACATTTTGGCCGAGTTTGAAACCACACCAGCTGTTTCAAAGAGTTCCTACATGTACCAGGTGATCTTTAGGTGGGTGCATCCTTGAAGGCACCTTGACGAACCTTTTCACACGGGGTATGCCGCACAAAAAAAACACTGCATTGTTTGAACGAGCGGAGATGAAGATACCAACACGTCAAGCCTCTCGAGACATGAGGGTGTGTATTTTTAGAGGTTACCGGTGGTTTGGCAGACACACACACACACACCCACTGCGGATAAACGAAATCCTGCACCTAAGAAGTCCTAGAATGCTTCCCCTGTCAATACTAGCAAACAAATGGTTTCCCATGGCCTCAAAGTGGTGCGAACGGATTTCGTGTACTGTACGAGCCAATGTGGGCGTTGCGGCGGCCTGTTTTAGGAAGAATTATTGACCTGTGCCGCGAAAAATGTGTGCCACGGCCAGGTGAACTGGTTGAACCGACAAGGCAAGGCTTGTGGGTGACTGCAGAACATGGCATGGAACTCTCTGGGAGGTAAATCGAGGTTATGAAGCATGCCCTTATGGGGGGTTCTGCAGTTGTCAAAGGGTAGTCTGTTGGGGGGTTCCTTAACACTTAGAACCAAATGAAGGATGCCTTTATGGGGATTCTTTCATTCAGGTTGATTGGTTTGTCACATTTTGCAGAAGCCCTGCTCAAATATGTTCCAACGCCCATTGATTTGCTGACTTGTCGATGATGTGCAAACTTGACGGGGTGTGCGGTTCCATGTTGGATCAGTAGGACTCCTACCTGTAGTACAACCAGAAAAAAGGGGTACCCTCAAAAAAGACACCCATGTGGCCAGTGCTGTACAGATATCACTGGAGCCAAATCTGATGGTGTAAGAATCACTTGCTTTAGCGTGTCCCTGTTTAAGGGTTTTCCACTTGATAGAGGGGTGTGTGCCTTGTTGGAACTGGAGAAGTATGATTCATGGCTTAAGGCGAGTATGGGTATGCAACATTCTAGGGGTACCTTCCAATTCAAATTTCCATTCTTTCCAGGGATCCTTCTTTTCGGGAAACCATCAAAAAATCCAGGGGAAACAGCCGGTTATTGAGAATAATGATGGTTGACAAGAACGGGGAATCAACCCCTAGAAAAGTTGTGTTTTTGTGCTTGGGGTTTTTCCCTTTAAAACCAACCCAAAAGTACCCTAACAAGAACAGCTCCATAAAAAGCTTTATAGCCAGTTTGATAGAGCAAAGACTCAATGGGCTTTGGGCCCAAATTCACTTTCTGATCTCCAGTTTTCCAAAATGTAAAACCCTTTACTTCCAGCTCCTTCCCCAACACGGCGGTTTTGTCTTTTTGGTTTCCCTTCAGCGCTCGAAAAACAAGCGGAAGCAAGCCCAGATTGGCGCTTCCCCTTTTGCGAGGGAAAAATAAGCCCAGCCCCGAAGCCCCTGGATCCGAATCTCCTTTTGAGCCCTCCCTGAAAGCTGCCCCGTTCATCACCAACTAGGTCCCCCAGCTATTGGTGCCCTTTCTCACCGTTTCTTTTTGGTTGGGAGGGTTCCCCTACTAAAATAGACTCCAGAAAAAAGGGTGCCTTTATTCTAACCACTCTACTGGAGGACCTAGCCTAGCTGGGCAGCGACCCCAAAGCTGAAAAGCTGTTGGGGGAAAAGAACGGCATCTCCTCAAGACGCTTTTGTCGGCACCGTCACATGAGATCAAGGTGCTACGTAGGAGTGGGGATTCCAAGTCTCTCCGGCGGTCCTTTTGCTGCGGATGGGGTTATCTTGGAGGGTGCCCTTTTTGGGATGGTTCTGGTTAAGGGAACTGTGACCACAGGCCGCATAAGAATGAGTCTTGACCATGGCTCATTTGGGTCTGTCTTTTTTTGGGAACCTCTTTTTGGGGTGGTTTTAAAGGGAGGCCAAAAGGACACCACCAAACCGCGAGGGGTAAACACATCAACCAATTTCTGCCAAGGAGTCCTGACCATAGGTGTCCTTTTTGGCTGTTTTGGTCGCAAAATAGATGGCGATTCCTGGTTTACCTGGTGGCTTAATCATCTACCAGGGCCATCTATTTCTCCGAAAGGACGCCTATGGTCCTGACCATTTGGGATGGCTGTGGTTGTCAAAACCGATGGTACCATTTTGGGGTAGGTGCGCACCCATTTTAGTCTATTTTAGTGGGGATTGGGATGTTCACTGGGGGTATGGGATTTGGATTTTGATCCATGACCATGCGGGTTT